CTGTTCACAATGGCTCAGCTGAACACTATGGCAGGGAGTCTGTCTTGACAAGAAATTAAAAACAGTCAGCCTTAACATTTCATAAGCATCCTTGTATTTATAATGGGCTTATAATAATACCATAGCAGTGAAGGTTAAAAAACATGGAGACAGCAATACTTAATATAAATGTTCACAGTCAATTTCTTCAGTGCCTCAAAATAAATAAATAGATCTGGCTGCTAACACAGCAAGCAAACCCAAATGCCTTTTCTGCTTTAAGTCAGTACCCTCGCTCTTCAAGCGTCTCTGAAAACAAGAGACAGAAGGGAGAATTTGCAGAAGGTACAAACATGAGTTAGCAGCTTAAGAGACTTTCTACCTTTTAAACTTCTCCTCCAGGTGATGAAATACTCATGAAGAAGTTTCCTTAATTCATACACTCCAGTTTTCAGACAACTAACTACTAGGAAACATTAATTCACAGGAGATCCTTCAACAACACTTCCACTGGCACATTACTTGATGGTAACAGCCTACATCTGTCTGTACCACTGTATCTGATGTAAAAAACAAAAAAACAAAAAAACCACACCACACACAAGTTATGGTTTGTTTGGTTTTTGGTTTTTTGAGTAGCTAGCAAGTCTTGTGTCAAGACGTCTAACAAAAAACCTGGTTTCAGCCACAATTCACATAGTCAAGGTGCGAGAGCGAACGCCCATACGAGATGGATCTTGTTTACTGACAGCGGCACAGTGCGTGGCAATGTCCAGAGGTCAGCTCGTTCCCTGCTTCGCCCCAGGTTAGCGGCAAACAGCTCCCTGACTCTTTCCAATTTGCATTGAGAGAAAATATTTTATGTGGCAAAAGGAACAGAAAACTAATAATTACTCAGTTCGAGCTTTAAAGCTCAAATTCCTTAAGGATTTAAATTAATATGGCACCAGTACCGTCACCACACAAGTAACCCACTCAAGAGGTTCACTCATAATGAAGCAAGGAAAAGATGCATCCACCATACTGTAGCATTGACCACTGGTAACCAAACTCAACCCATGTATGGGGCCTAGGGTAAAAACTGATCTTTCTAAAACAAGCAGATATAGCCAGACTCTTCCATAGCACCTTTGTGCAACATATGACCCTTCAAACCTTGACAGAGATATAGTAGTAACAGCTCAAATTTACCATTGTCCCCTTTTACTGCTCTTAACTCTAGACAAGCAAATTCCCCCTTAACTGAGGGCTAGGTTCATCTTTTATCCCTTCCGTCCACTCAGCACTCAAAGGTAAGAGGATTAATCAGAGGGTGACACAGATGTATTACACTTAGTGTTTGTTTAAAGTAAGCTCTCTCTGAGCTTCTCCTTTCTCACCTTATCGTCTTGCCTTAAATCGTACATTCATCTATAAAAGGGCTGCATATTCCATTAATCCTCTGCCCTGAGAGTCCTTATTTTTTGCTGTTTTTCAGCCACTTCGAAGGAGGGAAAGACCTCCTACAAACAGCAGAAATCACTGCAGACACTTTGCTTCTGCTATTCTTCCCTCAGCTGGCTGCAGGCTCCCTGCTCACCTTTCACAGTGGGGCTGGTAGTCCCAAATACTTCGCTTACCTATGCTCATAGGCACTACTTCTTATCCAAGGAAGAGCAGAATCTTTTTTGGCACCAACCTAATATTCAGCTTCTTTGAACAACGCAGAGTATCACCTTTTCTAGGCATCTCTTAACCTTCCCACAGAAAATAACAGGACTTACATTAAAGGTTCAGTAATTGCTGTTGTGTTTGAAACAAATGTTTCAGCTAAAGGCCAGTGAGCACAGTTTTAGCAAATTCCCTTAAAATGCTGGTAACAGAATTATGATTTTTGTTTGTTTCATTCTAGTAATATTTGCTCAATTCTAACCAATTATATATTATGAATTATAATACTATGCTTTAAAAGCAACAAAAATATTTCCCAGGAACCACTAGGTACCGTGCGTCAAACAACAAAATTCAAAACAAACTCACACAACAGAAAAAACAACCAAATTCAACAAATCCTTTCCCAATTCTAGGGGAATTTATTCAATTTCTTTCAGTCCAGAATACCAACACTTATTCAAATCTATCCACTTGGATTACCTAGAGAACAGCAGAAACAGCAAGGGAAAGAAAAGTTGGCCACTGTTTTACAGCATCGATAAGCAAAATGCACATTTTGGTTCTCTTTTCATTTTGGATAGTGCAATTTTAAAATCTGAAAATGACTGCAGTACAAGCCAAGATCTCAAAACCCAAGACTATGAAATATTTCATTCTAGCATTTTGCACACTAACTGAATGGGCTAAGTACAGAGGGTGAACAGACTCAGAAAACAAGCGGGGAAAGCCAGCCGGAGCAGTGCCGCCTTTTCATAGGTAACCGTGAAACCTGGTTGCCTTTATTTTTTATTTTTATTTTTATTTTTAAATAGAGAGAGAGAATACTTCTGTAATAGCTGCTCAGAAAGCTTGACTGGGAAAAGCAAAGGCAACTTACCAACAGCCAAGAACTGATTTAGACCTGGATTTAATGGAAGATTCTATTCAATCACCATAAAATCTGGTTTATGCCTAACAGCTTCTCAACTATTTTTGACCAGGGTAGCCTTATTCTGTAAATCAGACCATTTAGCTACTGCCTATCTCAGGTTTCTAATTTTGAATATTAGTTCTGCTGCACCACAATGCTACTGCTTTGCATAAACACTGCTCAAGTTTTAAAAATTAGTTATTATGACCACATCTTAGCAGTGTCACTCTGAATCTATAATGGCTAACAAAAATAATCAGATTTTAAAATTGCCTCTTGAAAACAATGTCATATGTCTGGTTGGTTAAATACTTAATAATTATTTAAATTCCATACTCTCTAGTTTTTGAAATATTGAGATTAGTCAAGTAAAAAATGGTTTTAAATTCAAGTACCGGAAATGCACATTTTGTGCACTTCATTTCATTTCACAGTCTCCAAGAGCTATTACAGTTTTTAATAAATTTGTATCTGAGATTTGAACTCAAACACTCATGCTCAAAAGGCACAAATTTATTAACTAAAAGACAACCAAAGTGGTAATAAAACGTATTCCCCAGTGGTATACTGCAAATGGACTGTAAAAATTACATTTTATTAATCCAGCTGCAATTAAAGAACAACAGCTGTCCCATTTGCATTGCAATGCCCCACTTTCAGGGAGATGACAAATACTGTTTGTTATTCATTATAAATTGCTGACTGTCAAACATTTTTCTTAGTCCAGTAGTGTTATCTCTTGGGCATGACTGCTTCTCTTTATGATTGCAAACCGAGTTCTCCTGGTATCATGGGATTTGCAAATGCTATGAGTCTTTTTTTTCTTCTAATGTTCCACATTTCAAAGAGAATGATAAATTTCTGCTGAAGCCAACAAAACTAAGCAACGCACGCATATACAGAGAAGTATCTGGCTGACAAGTTTTTATAGGTGTTATTGACAGTCACTTATTTTTCTACAATTAACAAACCGGTATCACAGCCTCAGTCTTTTTATTAATATAAGATGATCAAGTGTTTGGCAGGTGGAAAACGTCAAAACAGTGGCTAAAATTAGCCAAGAAACAGACAGCTATTGGTATTTATTATTAAGAAATACTAATTGAAATAACTTTTTTTCTTTGGAATGAATTAGTACTGCCTACTGCAGAGAAAATAAGGGCGTGATCCTGCTCTTATAAAACTCCCACATATTCCCATGCTCTGACTGTACAGCTGAAGTACATTTAGTGCTCTGTAAGCAGTAAGAGAATTACAAAAACATTACAGCAAGGTAAAACCTATATAATTCCTGCAAAGAGATACAAAGGCATAATAGCTCAGTAAATGTAGTATATAATAATCATAAACATCAGCATTCTGTTGCGCACGTCAGAAAATCCCAACCAACTCAGCTTCGCTACGGTCTTAATGGTTCTAGCTCCAATGCTAGAAAGGCTTTAGAAACGTTTAAAATTCCGTTTAATTGAAGTACTATCCACAGTCTACAAAGGAATCTAAGAAACATTAGCTTAGTTTTTGACAAGTTTTCTAGCCATCTAGTAAGTACAGCACCAACCGCTACCTCAAATAAATATCATGCTGAAGTCTTAAGCCTTATGTTGCAGATGAAAAAAAAGCAACTGTAAGTTGGTTAATCATTTGAAAAACCTGGGATAAGAGTACACAAGGGACAAAAAATAAGCAACTATGTGGCATATCTGGAACATAAACAATATTTGAGAATTACATTTTACAAAAATAAATACTTACTTTTAAGACTTTTCAAAGTTTGCTTTAAATATACCTCTTAAAAAATACAGGCATAGAGTCTGGTTTACCACTGTATGTGCTTTAGGAAATTGTTTACAGCTATATAAAAAGTTAGCAATGAGAATGCTGATGCGTTAAAATGACTTCGTAATGTTACAAGGAGCTGCACAAACAGCAGCAAAAATGTCAGGCCTGCAGGCTATACGTCTCCCCATTGCACCAAATCTTTACGCTTAAGGCCTCCCCTAAGATTACAACAAAATTTCTATCGACTTCACCAGACTATGAACGTCGGAGCACTCGGGCCGAGTGTCTGAGACTGCACTGAGCCCACTGATACAGGTGGGATACAGTTTGGTGAAAGTTTGGTCACTCTAATTTAGGTAAAAATGCTGCCACATACCACGCTTTACCTATAAACATGCGGTCATCCTCTACTCCTGCCAAAGAGCGTAATGAACTTACCAGACTAGCAGCAAAATAAAAATAGTTTAATTTGGGCAAGGCTTCCTTACAAGGGGAAGCTTTTCCCCTTCATTTATATCCTTTTAGTTTAGATAAATAAAAAGCCAGCCCTGTCATTTCTCCCCTGGTAGCCACTGCATTTTTCTTTACTTTCACAAATGGAGTCTCCCTCATGCATTAAAAAAAAAAAAAAAAAAAAAAAAAAAAAAAAAAAAAAAAAAAAAAAAAAAAAACCCTACTTTTCTGACTTACCTACACTCTCTCAGATATTCAATAAAGTTCACTGGTAAGTGGCAGCGGCTATGTATCTATTTTTCAAAAGTGCATGGAAAGCCAACAACATGGCACGTAATAAGGATGCTTGAAGGGCTTTCTCCTCCTTGTTACAGGAGTAGGATTTATCATTCCTTACTGATGGCATAAAAATAATCATTCCTTCTGGAATAAAAATACAATCCAAGTAGCTATAACAGTGTTATTTACTTATAAAGTATTAGTAAGCCCAGCAATTTTTTTCTGTTGTATCACATTTTCTAAGTTAATATTTCAACCTGGCAGTTCTTATTCGCTAGGTATAGTAAATGGCTTCGGAGAGTTGCCTTTAAGATCACAGGAATAAGCTTTGACCTGCAGACACGAAGGCTGGTTTGCAAATATGCTTTTACTCTCATATTTTCCAAACCCAACACTGAATTTGATGATCTGTAAAAGTTTGCACGTAGAGCCGATGCAGGACCTTTTGTCCGTGTAAAATGTCTCTCCGTCTTTACTGAAATCCTACTAAATCCATCAAAAGGTCTCTGCGGACGTGACAGCCTTCGCTGAGCTTTCTGCTGTCTTCAAATCTCACGCACACCGTGGCATTTTCAGGATCTGAAACGCCTGTTATGAAGGTTTCTTGCTGACCCAAAGCAGCTTCACAGCATGTTACATCTGAAAATGGAGAAGAGTAGAGCAAAGATTGCCCATTTCCAGAGCTTCTGAAGGAAAGAGCAGGGGACATCCAGACCTAAGACCAAGTCAGAGAGAAAGGAAGAAAGGAGCAGGGAAAAAGCATTTAAGCAGCAAAGAAGAAAACGACAGCAAAACGTTTACTTTCGTAACTTCACAGAAACAAAAACAAACAGTCATGCAGGAACATTAGATGGAGGCAGAGGACTAATTTTAATCAGCATTTGAATACCTCAACATTGCATTTACTACTTGCCACATGAGCTCCGCTTCCTTATAACCTTGCCTCCAATATAATCTCTAATAAAAGCAAACTGTTAAGAATAAGTAGAAGAGTGCTAGTTACTTTATAACGAACTAGGACAAGAGTCATGAACTGCCACTACAGGACCACAAAGCTAAACTGACCCGTCTAGCTAAAGAAAGGAGCGTTCTTTTTCCCACAATATTGTATTCAACCCTAAACTGATTTCAGTGCAGAGCATAACAAAACTCCATTAACTTATTATGCAGAACCTTTAAAAACGTCGTGCACCTTGAACACTGGAGTACGTGGAGAGACTGAGCACTGCTCATATCAAAAACCTACTTCTTACAGACTGTTGGGGGAGGGAACTTGGTGCATTTCTTCTCATCCGGAATTAAAAAAAAAACAAAAAAAACACACACACACGGGAATGATCTTTGCTTGAAGAAGTAATTTACAGCTTACGCAGACCAAAAGCCCGCAAATCCTACCTTAGAGGAGAAAGCACAGCGCAATCGCCTGTCAGGACTGTCTCCAAGTTCCCGTGCCAAGCACAACGCGCTGCTTGCTGTTCCAGGCTATGCTAAAAAGTACAGGCTACCCCCAAGTACGTACTCTTTCCAAAACTGTTTGCTAGAGAGAACTTTTATTTTCACCATATGAAGTTCAGCATTGCCACGGTTGTTGCTCAGTGAAATATTTTTTTAAAGGACCTGAAGCATCACAGTTGCTTTCCATTAAGTGAAACATTTGGAAACTTCAGATAAGCTGGGGTGGGGGGAAGCGTAGGGCCTAAATGTAAGAAAGCCCAGCAGGCTCTCACACATTAGAGCAGTGTGGGTTCCTGCAGCCGGCTCTCAAAGAACCCAAATGCAACAATAATGATCTTGGCACAGGGCATTTCCTGCAGATTAAGGACCAGCAGGGAGGAGCTGATGGCCCACAGCCGGCCAAGGGCCATTAACCCCAGCCAGTCATTAATCCCCAGGAAATGCCCCATGCCAAGATCATTTTCTTATTTCAAAATGAAAAGCAGCAGAGACTACGCAGGTTTTTTTGTTTTGTTTCTTTTCTTAAATGAATGATGCTATTTAACGGCTATCTCCAGGGTATAACACCTATGTAAGTTAACCAACTATAGTTTAACTACAAGAGTCGAGAGCACAGCCCCGGCCAAGCGCGTGACCCAAGCTGGAAACAGGCTCTGTGTTGTACCCATGGCTGACAGCAGCCGGGGAGGGCTGCACCTCTATCCCTTACTCAAAACCCCCCAAAACACGCTGACCTCTTATCACGAGCAAGGAGGCTGCAGCGAGCTGTATGTAATCATCCCCAAGTGTGCTATTGGGCACGTTCTCAGGAACAAGGGGCACGTATCGGCCTTGTCGGGGGCGGGGGGGGTTGGAGGGGGAGAAGCAGCTAGGATTTTACTCTAGAGTTGATACAGTTCCACACACTTTACGTAATTCTTCAAAGAAAACGAACAGTTATCGTATTTATCGCCACTGACGTCGATTAATCCTGTTGGTACATCACACTTCCCAAAAATTGTGTCCCAGAAGTCACCTTACCAAAATAATCCAAAACAGTCCAATTTGCATGGATGATTTCCTAAAAGCTGTCATTTTATAGCAAGCACACATGTATTAGTGTAGATGTAAAATAAACAAGATAAAACAGAATAGTAAACCTATGTTTACAAGTTGACCTGTCACTATGAATAAGCCTTTTGTAATCCTTTGTTAATACGTACTTCGAGTGCTTCACTATGGTGTTACTCCAACATGGCTAACAAAAAAAGCATGGCTGGAGTTTTCCCTCAGAGCTCACAATACGTATTTATGTGCATTTATGGTATTCGCTACGACAGTCCTTACGTACCTTAGAGTTCTGATGTATTTATCCACAAGTGCCCTTGAACACAAGTCTTTTGAAGGTAGGAAACTCTGGAAGTGATTTTTCAAAAGGTGTGAGGCAAATGTGTGTCTCTGACGTGCTGAGCCCTGTCAACATGCTGAAATTCCCACAGCCTATCACAAAACCAACTCTGAGAGCAGCATTTGCCAAATCCCACGAAATACGTGTTTTTAGAAATATTTTTATTATATTGACAATATTGGGATGCAAGGAGGGGAAGCCTTGCAGGGTTTAGTGCATCTCCAGTTTATCATGATTGCTATTGTGGAGTCCAATTTCGTTTGCTTATTTTTCATACAATTAAGAGATTTTCATTATATAAAGACCCTCCTGTGTCTTATAAATTAAATGAGGGCTTGGGAGAAAAAAGATAAACTAGAACAAAAATATTGAGTTATTAATCTCCAAGAAATTTTATCTGGGAGATTTACAAGTTCTCTCTTAACTAAGTTACTGAAATAGTCAAAAAAAAAAAAAAAAAAAGCCTTCATTTCTCAGGAGCACATTTTCCTTCTCCTTTGCTTCAGCAATCATAAATTGACCCATTGTTTCGGAGGCCATGAAAGACACTTCCTACCTCTCTATGTTAATTCTCAGCTGCACGGAGTGGACAACCTACTACATCTCTCTCAGTCAGTCAATATTTTTCACCTTATAGTTTTAAGCTAAGCTTACCGCATGGAGTATTCTCCCTCTTGCAGTCTCTTCCTCCTCTTCCATAAATTGCTCTTTTCAAGTATTACACTAACTGAAATTAGATTTTTCTATACTAGAAGAGAACGAAAATGTGTTTTTATTTAGCAGGAAACTGTTCAGTTACTCGCTCCTGCAGTCCCTAATCTTACAGAAGGTTAATAAGCATCCTCCCCCCACAAAGAAAAGAGAACATGTCGTACTTTGAAGCATCAGGCTCTCATCAACAAGACGCTATGTGATCAAAGGCAAATGATCCTAGAACTCTTTAAACAAGTGCCTGCTGTCCTCCAGTTATATATAATTTACTAGAAATAAAAATAATTCATGGAAACAATTCAATGAATAAAGCCAAAAATGCTTTTGCAGGAATTTGTTGCCCAGCTGCTGCAAAGGTCAGGTCTTCCAGCCTGTTGATTAGCTTGGTACATTTCTTTCTACACAAAGCAGAGTTGCAGGTTTTTCCTTTATTAACAAGCAAGTAAAGGAAGTTATAAAAAGCACGTAGATTATTATTACGGTTTTCACAGGGATGAGGATAGTATCACAAATCACAATACAGTACCAATTTTGCTCTCTTCTTCCAAAGATGTATCCAAAAGCCACATAAACTTGAATACATCCTTCAAAACACAGCATTTTTAGCCTCTTGTCCAGCTAATTATCACAAGCCTTCTACAGATGCTTATCAAATTGGCAAAAGCAGTTCCTAAGTCTTCCATAAACAAGCACATCACAATAGCCCCTTTTCTCAGAATACTTGCCCTAATAATAAAGCAACTAGATTTCTTTCTGAAAACCTGTATCCGCTGTGCTGCAGATCTCCACACAGACAAGCCTCTCCTTCAAAACACCTGAAAAATGGCAATAAGTATACAAGGGGAAAAAATAGCAGATCCTTTAGGATTTGATTTTCCAGGTTCATCTTCACTGTTGAATGAAAATTACTACAGCATACACCATGCAGGACTGGATTTCAAAAGTAGTCCAAACATTTAGACTTTAGGCCAATTTAAGTATTCTAACAGCTGAAATCTTGTCAGTAGCGTCTAAATCAGCTCACTTAAAACTTGCATGAGAGTTTCCAAATGAGTTGTGGGAGTGTTTTTGTGTCCCACCAACTCTATTTCTAAATCGCACTGCCACCATCATATCTCTACAAGGACATGTTCACATGCACATCCAAACGTGTGCAACAATGAAGAGCTTTCTAATATCTTCAGCCATTATCACAATGTTTAACATAATAAATTTAACAAATAAAGATGATAATTCAATGGACCACTGCTCCTTGTTTCTCCCCAATTTATTTCTAGCAGCTTGGAATGACATTACCATAATCCACTAAGTATAAAGGTAACCATATCAAACTTAATTTAAGCACTTAACTGTATTTTAAAAAGCACCTTCCTATTGACAAGTCATTGTACTGCTGTAGACCTTGTCAAGCTGTCTGGGAAAAGTTGAAGACATACTATATATTATGATGCATGAAAGAGGCCAACCTAAAGGAATAAGGGGCAAAATTCTGCTCTCTTATTCTGTAATAAATCTAGTAAAATTCCACTGGTTTTGGCTAGAAGTATTTCTGTCCAAGATATCCTGCAAACAAGTCATTTTTCTTACTCATGGAAAATGCCATACAACAGATTCTATGCCCTGTTTTGCAAAACAGATACCAGATTTTTCCATATTACCTTATTCTGGAATAACGCCGCTGATATTTGCAGACTATCTCTGGCGAATTGGCCATGGGAGTTCAGAAAACGTATTAAAAAACTCTGTCATGCCTATCTAACCTGAAAAAAGTTTGCCAAAAATCTAAAAGCATGCCCACAAAAACTGCCAGCCACAAATACACATTTTTTTTTGTTAATATACAATATTCAGCTAGAAGATAGAAAATCCTAGACAAAGTAAGACCACTCAGTTTAAATTTGAAATTGAAATCTTAATATTAAATTGGATATATTAAAATCTACTGCAATACAGATTACAATAACCAATCACTATTTAGCATGGATTTTTTTCCCCTACTACCATTAATCAACCTCATCCTTCATTAGAAATAGCTCTTTTTGTAGAGAATGTAATGGTCCCAGATAAGAACACAGTTATTACTTTCATACAGTAATCAGACCACCCTCATGTGCATCTTTAATTCTCTCAGCCTAATATATTGAAATTTCTGGGTCAAAATTAGAAAATACAGCAATAAACGGTTGACAGAACAGTGTTCAGAGCAAAGTTTAAATATTTATTCTTTCAGTGTAATCTTGGAATGCTAGCAAAAAAAAAATGCATACTCTGCAATAGAAAAACATTTTTCTCTGCTACCTGCAGTATTTTCAGTTACTTACAATATTTTTTGTGCTACAGTATTCCAGGGTACAAGAGAACTTAAAATTTTAAAAAGCTGAAGAATTTAGAAGCACAAATTCCAGATGAAATTTGCCAGGAACTATACACCCAAATTCCAGTGAAATCCTTCTTGGGGATCCTCTGACGTAAAAAAACACCACCACCACATCTTCGGGACGCGGTTTCATTGACCTCTCTACTGAGCAATCTCACAGGTCATTCTCAGATTTCTGAAGGGTTACATTTTTGCTATTTGGTGAATACACTTAAATGCAAGAAAAAGTGAGACCTGGAGTTGTATGGGGTGCATCCACCTGAGGGACACATCTTCTGTCGTCAAATTTTAAGTATCTTCCTTTAGCTTTGAGCTGAGGAGCCACAATGGAGGATTTCCAGTAGAAAAGAACACCGCATACCTTGCCTGGGAAAGAAGAAACTTTGTTTTCCATTATACAGTACTAGAAAGAAGTGTAATAAAATGAGCTTTCTAGAAGGTGTTTTCTTAGGTATTATCAGTTTTTCAATGTTGGTAAGTTTGTCTTATGTCAGAATGGAACTAATTCAAGTTCCATTAGTGCTCTAGTGCAAGAAGGATCACTAGAGCATACCAAAAAACGAATGAAACCATTCTCAAAAGCTAACAAGGAAGACACACACAAACAACAAAACTCCACACAACTCTATTATAAAGACAAATTGTGTTGCCTGCAGCTTTCCTCTGAAGGGCAAATATTCTAAGTCAAAGAAATTGCTCTTTGAAAGGCGACAATAACAGTCACTGGATACAGAAATGTTCTGCCCAACAATTTTGGGCAGAAAGGACCAATGACAGCTTTTCTCATTCCTAGCTGGGAACTCAAGGCCAAGTGTCATACTAAGATAATAACATGCTGAAATCAGAATATTGAAAAGCAGCATGAAAGTGACAAAGAACTTGCACAAAAACCAAGAAATTGCAATGTTTTAGTGCAACTGCAGCCCAAGATGATTTAGGGAAGTGATCAAATTAGTTTCAGCATCTTTGTTCCTCTAATTTATCAATCTGCAATTACTGTCATTGTCATAACAATTTGTATCAATTGTAATTTACCAAATTAAAAAGGAGGCAGATGCTAAAACTCAAGTGATGTAATTACATGTAAAAACATGATTGATATTGTGTGTATTCCATTTATTCATGACTCAAAGTGGACAGTTCCTACTAAACGTGCATGGAGACAGAATTTCATATCCCTCTATTTCTTCCCCCTGCAAAAAAAAAAAAAGCCAACATGCAAAAAACCTTAACTACAGAAAAAAAAGTGTTGTTTTGTCAATGTTAATATTGCTGATTCTTAGCATACAATGGCTTTTCCTGAGCAGGTTTTTTTTTTTTTTTTTTTTTTTTTTAAAGTAAGAGAATTCAGCAGAGTCAGATTCAACAGTAAAATAACCATAAGAAAAAAAATTAAAAATCAGTAATTACACTGACCTGTGCATTTCCACTAAGAATGCAGTTTTCTGAGCAGTTACCCTGATTGAATGCAGAGCACAACTTTTACAGCCCCTTTGAGCCTTTGGCTGCCAGGAATGGCTGCTGATATAGGGCACCCCTACAGGTGCCAATAGTTGGCTGGGAAACAGAGAAGCAGCAAATCTGCTCCAACATTTATGTGCCACATGCTGTCAGTCACTCTCTCCAGAGCCCAGCCTCCAAAGTCTCCTTCATCGATTTTGAAAAAGATTCACTAACCCCAAAATATCCAGTTTCCTCAGTAAGTTTTCTCAAATCAACACTGCCACCTTCCACTTAACCAAGTACTCGCATCTCTTTTAGTTAATTGACATCCTTGCTTTTACTTCTACTAACATTGCTATACCTGAGACAAAAAAACAACCTTCGCTATCTTCCATGTTACACTCCTACTTGACCTCAAGAGCGCAAAATCCGAGTTGTCCTCTCGTCTTCCAAACCTTGTTGTAAGAAGAAATGCAACTGAAAGATTGTTTTGCCTCTCAATCGCGTCCCAATTATTCAACACACAGAACAATCCTGGAGCCACTCAAGTCTCGTTTTTGTTCTGTAAATAATCCAAGCAATTAGCATCAAGGACGACCCCCCCCCATCAAAAAGGACGTCACTGATTTGCTTCCTGCCTTCTGCATTTCCACACTATCAGAATGACTCATTTGTCAACATAATTTTTCCACAAATTAGATTGTGTGGAAGAGAAATATTACTCTCCAAGTACTGCTTTTTTTTTTTTTTTTTAAATAGAAAATGAGACTGAAAAAGGACTGAAGGACCTGCCTGTGGCCGCAGACATACAATATGTTGTGGTTTCCACAATTCTTGGCTGGTCTTTTTAAGTACGTTTTTTTAACTCATGCTTTTTCCCCCACCCCTCTCCTTTTCCATCTGCAAAGCAAATACTGCAACCCACTTGCAAATCTTTCAAAAACCTACACTGAACACATAAGCTGATAAGTATTGCACACTTGCGCAAAACAAACAGGTGAACCAGTGAATTTATTACACCGCAGTTTATCACATGGTTGTTCTGAGCATTATGACATTTTAAAAAGGTAGGAAGCGCAAAAAAGTATGATATGGGCAAGGATCTGTTTGCTTCATTGCAAACTTTCAGGCTTTGCCTCCGTCAGCTGAATAGCTCAGTTCAGGTTCTTGTGTCGAAATTCTGTTTTTACAAACAAATAAATCTGAAGAAACATAAGAAAATTGGACTTTAGTTTTCTGTCCTAGCTGATTAAGTAGCCATGCAGTCTGACATTCCCATTTCCTTTGACAGCCTCTTTTCCTATTTGTGTCTGCGTCTCTCCACGTTTCCTCTCTTAAGAGCAGGAAACACTCCTAAAAAAATTTAACTAGCATGTCAGTCATGCAATATAGCTTTTAATAGATTCCGATAGTAAACTTTTCATCTGGATGCAAAATAAATAGGCAGGCTTTTAGATAGCCCAAGGAACCATGCATCCAGCTCAGCTTGCAAACAGCTTGATAGGTACACATAAGAAAAAAAATGTTCACCTCTAAATAAGAAATGCTTTAAAAGTAATTTAAAATTATTTCACTACTTTTTAAATATGCTTTAATAACCTGCTGCTTGTATAGGGAACTACCCCATCAAGCCCACGTGTAAGAGAAAGCAGACATTTATTTCGTGACACAACAAGTCTTTCAGGTTTCCACCATCCACAGAAAAGTTTGAAGCACTTAGCCACTACTAAGCCCAAGTTGCTGGCTTATATTTTAAAGGGAGTTTGGGATTCACACTTAGTAAGCTCAAGCACCAATCATCAAGGAGAAAAACTTGAAGTAAATACATTAACCAGGCTGCATCTCTCACCTCTTCCCTCCAGCAGAAGCAAACAGTCAGAAGTATACCTCAGGGAAAAAGATGTGAGTCTAACTCTCAGTTTCAGCAAGCCTGAAAAAAGTCATGAGATTTAAGAGACATCTGGGAAAGCAGCGACAGGCAAGATTAGCAGCAATGGCAACAACTGGGAAAAACAATACAGGAGGAGGAGAGTTGATGCAAGTCAGCCTTTCTTCAATAACGCAACAGGAGCGTCTCAGCAGCCTCCAATTTTAAGATTTAGAATAAAATTGAAACCGAGTAAAAAGTTTGTTAGTTATCTGTCTATTCTTACAGTTATATACTTGTTTTGCACATTATATATCATCTTAATTAGCTTTTCTTCCCTCTCAAGTAAAAATAAAATTTAAAACATCAAAACTCATCTCAGCCTTGTCCCCCCCCCCCCACACACACACTTTTTGTGGAGCAGTACCATATTCGGTGAATAGCCCTTTGAAGCGAGTAGGCCACGTCACCTTCAAGCAATTAGCACAGCTCCACTGCAGCTAAATTCTCAAGCTGAAACAAGTGGGGCCACGGGTTTGGACATTTCCTGTAAAGAAACCCAGTTAGATGCCACTAAGCAAGGTAAGATGACAAATTGTACTGTATTTTTGAAATAAGAGAAGGAGGCATAGATTAAGCAGGAACTTGCAATCAGATAAAAGGGAAAAATTAAATAAGATGACTGTCTCCAGAACACCCATCAGCTTTAGTAATAGTGGGAAAAGATCTGCATGACTCAGAAGACAGAACCCGTTAATCTTTATGAGAATGGATAACAGGCTGCCATAAGTGGCTAATTCATTTTTTTTTTTTTTTTTTAAACTTCTTTTCCTTACCCTTAACTAGTTACCTAAACACTGCCGCAAATGATGCGGTGACTAAACCAAAAAACCTTAATGTGAAGAATGGCAAGCACTTTACTTCCAAGGAGGAAAAAAAAATTTTGGATAAAACCTTCTACACTGCATTTTGCCCATCAGCATTCTTCTTAGGGGAATTACATAATAAACAGACAATTTTAAGAAAGAACATTCACGCCACAGTCATCTGCAAAACATTTTTTCAACTATTTCTCATGGCTAGTGATGTCTACCTGCATATTTATTTTTGCACATTCAGACTTAAGTCCTGACTTTTTTTCAGGTCTATCTTTCTCCATGAATAATACGTATTCATTAAAGAATAAGGATAACAACATTTTCCACATTTTCCACTCTGTAAAACAGGACGAATTCTTAATCAACTTTTTAGGCTTTGCTTTCCTAAACATCCACTTTTTTTTTTTTTCTGTTAAACTCTCAACTCCTGATTCCTTCAAAGGTATGAAAACAAATGGGTGCATATACTAGACAGCCATTTCTTAAACTGATTTAAATTCTTAAAGCATATGTGGCTGCTTTTCAGATGTCTCTTTCCTTGTGTACAAATAACATCAGGAAGTTAACGATTATCATTTGTAGTAGCAAAATAGTTACAGCTTCAGCAGCACAAGCGGGAAAAGAAGAGGGAGAGGGCCTTCATTCTGTATACCACTTATTATGCAAAGAGGTTTTTATAAGAAAAAACATTTATAGTTAAGCAATATGCATGGTTTAAGCAGGCCATAATGTTCAGCCTAACTGTCAGTTTAACTATTCAGACTTTCTGAAAACACGTGTATGTTTCCTTGCAGCCATACTGACCTTCAGCAGCTAGTTTCTGATCATCTCCTGGGACTATGCTACCTTTCAGTTCTAGTCCCCTACAGTCTAAGTGCACACATGTAGATTTTATTTTTAATAGCACTTTGGGTAAGAAGTAGAGTTTAAGCCAAAAGCCAAGCAGGCATTGAACTCATTGCAGGAGTGAAGCCTAGCAATGTCTTAATGCTAGTTTCCAACAAATTATCCCAAAAGCCAAGGAACCTCAAAATATGCAAAAAACCACAGAACTACTCCAATGCAAAAATTAAGTATAGTTGTTTTGTTGACCACACAGAAAATTATATCATTAAGTTAAGCTGGAATTACCCAAAGTCCTCACCATGCCTGCAACCCGATGGCAGAATGCAACAGAGTCTTTACCAGCTCAGTTCAGCGTCATCATCCCCCCAAGGCTTCTCGGCAGCAGTTCAACAATGCTCAAGAGAAAGGGACACACCATTTCCACAACACTACGTTTTGAAACTGTACTGAAATGAGGAACGGCATGGAAGTTTAGAAAGTGAAAAATATCAAGCTGGCCTCACAGATCCATCAGTGAACACCCCATGATGGCACAAGTTGGGAAAGGCAGCCATAAATTTTTTACACCTTAAGCTCTCGGTGGCAGAAGGGAAACTTGGGAGATATTTCTGGTTCCAGCAATTTATCGCACAGTTAAAATTTGCATTAGTTGGCATGGCGAATGCCAGACAAAATCAAGTCCAGTGGGACAGTAAATTGATGCAATTCTGAAACTCTGAAGTAAGCACCAGAACCGACATTATATCACATGCAGTACCAAACACTCTGCTAAATCCAGAGCTTTCAACACTCATCCCATCACCTGCCGCAGCAAGCATATAATGAGCTGTCAGCACACACAGAACAGCAATGCCGGTGTCCAAAATAAAACATTTCATTAAGCTACCACAGAAGATTTATGAAAACGTATGTCACAGTGTAACTGCAAAACGTCAGCTTCATCCCTCCTCCTCTAGACCTCTACCCTCAGATAGCACATTAAATTATTCAAAGTATTTCTCCATTGCCCAGTCTTTCAAGGAAAGGTATGTTGTACTTTACTGCTCACCCCTTTCTCTGCAAGGCAGGAGTCCTGCTGTTTCATGTATCTCCTTACACTACCACCGATCAGAAAGCATCTATTTCTTCTGATGATATTAGTGACCAAGAGTGCAACAGTATTTCAATATTGATTCTCCTGACAACCCTGAACAAGATTGTCCTATTAATGGCACACTCATGAGGTAAGGCTAAGTTCATCTTCTTTAATATAACACAATTACAATAATTATTACTACCTATGGATCTGCAGGTCAGTGACATTATTTAACCCAATAGATTATTATATAAACAGCTGGGTCTAGGGAAAGGAAAAAAGTATTTATTTACTTGCCCTATTTTTTTTTGTAAAACTTTCATCCTGTTTTATGTAGAGTATATTACATATATTAACTTAAACACATATACAAAACA